ACATTCTTCTAGCCTGTTAGTGACCACAAGCAGGTGAAAAGGCAGAGGCAGGCTGCAGAGAAGTCACAGAAGTAAGAGCAACACTAAGCAAGGTGAGGAGAATGCCTACTGGCTCTTAAAGTAGGCAAGATTTTTAACGCAGCCTGAGTCCAGATGGACACTTTGTCGAGTCAGCTTACTTTCTATTGTGTTACTCCTGTTCTCTCATGCACAGCAAACAGAGCAATGGCAGGCATGGTTTTCTCCTTACTTATGTGCCAGGCGATTCAGTCAGAAAAATCAGAAAAAGCATGGACTATTTTCTTTCCAGAAAATACAGTGAACACTGGGGAGCGGGCAGGAGTCACCAGCAAAGTTCTCAAGTAGAAAAGTAAAGGAAGACTAGGCAAAAATTCACACCAAACTGTGTGACAACATCACCAGGAGCATCTGTGACTGACTGGCCACAGGCTGCCATCTGACTTTGAAGGGCTGCCTGCTACAATGGTCTTTCACATAGACTTCCTGAGAACACTACACAAACCCAGAAATAAAAACATTCTCAGAAATGTTTTCCTTGGAGCTAAGTTTCTGATGCTGGCCAAAGGGAATATTTTAAGAATCCCCCAACTGGAGATGGTGTTAGAGGAAGGCCCACAGAGAGGGCCTTCTGACAGCAAGGTCTACTCCATCTTTCAAGGCTACAATACGGAAACTCATAACCTTGACACATAGGGAAGCTGAAGCCTGTGAAGGCTGTAACATTTCTAAGACTATATGCTGCTTGGAAATGCAAATTGAGTTGGACATTAAACTAGAAATTTTGGTGACTGATCTTCCCAATGGTGGCAGCAATCATTTCTCTCAAACAAATATATTGGCTCTCTTTTCAAAATTCAAGGAGGAAATCTAGGGAGATGGTTCAATCAATAAAGCATGTACTTTGCAAGGGTGAAGACCTGAATTTAGACGCCCAGAAGTCAAGAAAAAAGCTAGGTACAGTGGTGGTGCACACCTATAATCTCAGCCACTGTGAGCCAGGAGGTAGAGATAGGCAGATCTCTGAAGTTCATGGGCCAGAGGGTCTGGGCAACTTGGCAAGGCTTGAGGTCAATGAGAGACTCCGTCTCAAAGAGAAGCTAGAAAATACCTGGGGAGCAACATCTGAGGTTGACCTCACATATGCACCATGCATGCATGTTTCCGTGCCCACATGTGCAGTCATATACATGAACACACAAACATAAGCAAAGTGAAGCAACGAAATAATATAAATGCAAGAAGGAAGGCTGTGTAAGAAGAAGTGGCAACCTTTGCCTTGTTGAAAACTGGTCTAAATAGGAGAAAAGGTCTGGTCAACTTCTACCCTTTTTCTCAAAGGGTAAACCCTAACAACATTGATACACATGTCAGGGTAGAGAAGGGAGATTGTGGCAGCTGACACAGCTAAGTTACATGAACAGATGTCTGCTTTATGTGGCAGACACTTGCATTTCCCACATAGTGCTGTGTTAGCTATTGCTGACACTGCAATGGTTTTCATTTTTGCATAAGATTCAAGCCTCCAAAACAGTGTTCTCAAGCTCTGAAAGGATTGCCTGCAGTGATATAGTATTCAAAGGTTGGAAAGACAGTTACAGCATTGGATTAGATATGAGGTCTACTTCATGGGAAGAAATATAAATCTGGTTTTGTGAACCAGTGCAAAAATCTGTGGTTGGGAAGTCACAGGCCCTAATGAGGAACTTATAACTGGCATTAAGCTGGGTGTGGCCAAACAGACATCTACATGTGTATGCTTTAGACTGACTGTTATCTGTCCTGAACAGAAAAAGCAGTGGCCGATAAAGAAACTTGTAACTGAGGATAAATGGCTGCTGAGTGCTCAGCTCAGCATCCGTATTACCCTCTCCAAGGACCAGGGGACAGCACAGCAAGATTATGACAGCTGAAAGATGAGAAGTAGTTCTATGATTCTGATTTCTTTATTTTACACATTGTTTTTGTATAAAACTATGGTGACAGTGGATAGTAACTGTGGTGGTTTGAGGAAGAAAGTCCCCCTGTAGGCTCCTATGTGTGACTGCTTGTTAGTGAGTGGAACTGTTTGGGAAGGATTAGAAGATATGGCCTTGTTATAGCAGGTGTGTCACTGGGGATGAAGCCCATGCCATTCCCAGTTAGCTTTCTTTGCTTTGTGTTTGTGGGTCAGAATATAAGCCCTCAGCTACTGCTCTAGGGCCATTGCCTGTCTGCTTCCTGCCATGACAATCATGGACTAACCCTGTATAGGGGCTCTGCAATAAGAGGGAATATGTTGTTTTGGAGGAGGGAAGAAGAGAAAATGGAAAACACCGACCTAATACAGGTAAGCAAGCCTCGTGAGAACACCCTGAGTCAGTCTCCACCTCATCCTACCTGCCATGGCAGCCACTGAGGGACTCTACCTAGCAAAGCAGCATGGCCAATGTTAAGAGTTATTTTTAAATAACTTGGTGGGCTTTGTGAAGGATGATTTGTTTAAACAGCCCTGAGCTGAATGACCATCTAAACACATTGAGGTAACTGGAAAATTCTGATTGAGGAGCTGCCCTCTGGCCATGAGCCGTGACTCTAAGTACCTCGGGGCAAAGTAAAGCAGCTTGCCTCTGCAGTTATCTAGCTCCAGAGAAGAACTAGATGGAGAGGTGATGTAAGGAGGTGGAGATGAGCCTTGAGTTGGGTGCTGAAGAAGTTGAGAGACTGCTAGGGGGAGGTATATTCCAGGGTGGTCATGGCCATGGGTAGCAGTGGGATCATTTTGGTAGCAAAACTATTGATGCTTGGGGATGGGGGAGAATGGGGTTCCTGCTCCATTTGTGGAAAGGTAGAAGGTCCATGAAGAAGAAAGAGTAAAGTCGTGGAGGCGTATGTGACTAGTGAAGAACTGGCAGGCACTGAGCAGAAGTGTGAGGGGTCCCATACTGTGTGGTCCAAAGGGTACCCAGTCCCCCCACCCCCATCCTCCAAAACGGGCAGGCCCCCTTGACTCAGTTCAAATTGAGTTTAGGCTTCGCTCAACCTGGACTATAGGAGAATTTTTGGCACTTAGATACAAGCAAGCATTTCTTACTTGTGAGACTCGTTTCCATCAGCCAAAGGAGTCATTTTGCTTACCAGTGGCAGAAGGGACATATGGCTCTCCACTGACATGTACCCGTGGCCCCATGTCAAAGCCCATGCTGGCTTCCAGGCTCCCTAGGTCCCCATTCTCGAGTATGTGTCACACATTTCAAAGCCTCCACTGCTTTGCTGCTCCTTCCTGCTCCAGCTACTCACCTTCCTCATAACCATATCCCATTCTCACTATTCCTTGCTTACTGGCTTGTTCTCCTGCTCCGTCACTATGTTCTAGTCTCTCAATTGTTTGCTATTCTTCCTTGTCTCCAAGATGCATAGCCCTAGCCATGTCCGGTCGGCTTCTTTTTCTCTCTGCTCTAGACTCTTCCAGATGCCTCTGGATGTTCTCTCTTATTCACAATAAAAACCTTAACTATACCCTGGAGTTGGGGTGTCAGCAGTCCCTTTTCTGTGTCCCTCACATACAAGTTCCTTTCTTCATGTTGAGAGTGTCCCAATCTCTTATCTGGTCTCTCCTAGCTGCTCAACTCCTAGAAGAATAGACTGGCACAGAATCAAGTATGGACACTTATTTTTATGAGGAATTCCCTTTTGGAGCCAGGCAGCAGTGGCATACATCTTTAATCCCAGCACTCAGAAGGCAGAGACAGGTGGATCTCTGTGAATTCAAGGCCAGCCTAGTCTACAGAGGACGTTCCAAGACAGCCAAGGCTACCTATAGAAACCCTGTCTCAAAAACAAAACAAACAAAAAACCCAGAATACTTTTAAAGTTTTGCACATCATGATTTCAAGTAAAAATCCAAGTCTTTTTGTGTGTTTTCCTGTGTGCACATCTGTAGTTACTGGGTGTCATTCCTCAGAAGTCACCCACCTTGTTTCCCAAGACTGCATTTCTCATTGGGACCTGCCCATTAGGCTAGGCTGGCCCAGAGATCTGCCCCAGGCACCTCCTCAGTGACAGGAAGGATTACAAGTTCATGTAGCACACTATGCTTTTCATGTAGGCCCTGGGATTTGAACCCAGGTCTTCATGAGCAGCAAGTACTTTAGTACTTGCTGGAGCACTCCCGGAGCACTCTTAAGCCTTTTGTCACAGACAGCTGTGGGTTATGACACGGGAAAATGTGTCTTAACTGGACATCTGCAGCTTGTTTTCACAGTATAATCCTACAGGATTAAATTAACCCAGTATTAATGTAGTACATTCTTGGGTGAGGAGAAGGGAGCACGAGAGTCAACATAACACAAGTAGCCAGTGCGGCTGCCCCATTGGCAATGAGCTGGTGGCCTTTGAAGTGACCCCTAGGCTGAGGATCAAAAGAAAACCACACCAACTGACAGACTAGCCCAATTTTTATCAATTATGGAAATGATGAAACATTTTAAAAGATGGCTTTAAATGCACAGAAAATAATGTTAACTTTGCATGTGTGTTTGGAGAAACATATCCAATGGGATTAGCAGAACATGTTTCATCCTAAGCAAATCCATCTGTGCAAACAATCTCTGGAGCTTTTTCTTTCTTTCTTTCTTTTTTCTTTTTGGCTTCTGAGCCATCAAGAGCATAGTTCACATCACTCCTCAGTCAAACACACAGCAACACTCACTGGCATGTGAAAAAAGCCAGTTTGTGTTTTTAGCCTAAGCCTGTTCTGATCTTCTTTGCACTGGAGGCTGGGAGTTTATTCTAAAGGCTGCCATCTTCCTCTAGCATTTGCCTCACAGCACTCTCTGAGTGATTCTCAGTGTGATGGTGGGAGGAATAGCTTGCTGGCTCTCAGAGTCACTTCAGTGCATGTAAGCAACTGTAGGCACAGCTGCTCATGCCATCATCTCAGATCAAAGGGATCCAGCGAACACCTCATTTTAAAATGAATGAACGATGAGCGCAAGGCTTACCCATTCGTAAGAGAGAATCCAGCATCCTCTTGCGATCCCCATCAGCACGTTGAGGGTACGGACGGACTTTCCTACCAGCACATGGGTGGTGGACTCACAGACCTCAGGTGTGAATGAAAAGCCTTTCAGTGTGTTCACCACCTGGATGATGAGGCTCTGCTTCCTGTGGATCAGAGAGAGTCAACAGTCACACTGTGTGTCCATTAGACAGACAGAGGCTCAGAGGCTGGCTTCATCTTAGTAACATCACAGGAACATGGGGTTTGGGGAAACAAGAACTTTTCAGATCTCAAATACAAGCCCATGAAGCTATTGATGATGTCACACAGGTATAGGGACAACATCAGCAGCACTGGAAGCCAGACTCCCAACACCAGTCTACTGGCACTTTCATGCATTTTTGAGCCAGTACATGCTCTTCTAAAATATATATGTGCATGAGTGCTGTGACATGAGTGTGGCGGACAGGGGACAACTCGTGGGGTAGGTTGTTTCCTTCTACCACAGAGGTTCTTGAAATGAACTCAGGTCATCAGGTTTGGCAGCAGAGCTTTTCTCACAAGCATCCCACTAGCTCAGGACACCAATTATTATTTGCTTATTTTACTTTGAAAATGTAACATCATTGGAGTGTCAAATGCAGTTTTTCTCATCAAAAAAGAGAGAGAGAGGACTCTAGTAATCTCTTTAATTCCCAAAGCTCACTAGCATCTTTAAGCTGTCATTCTCTTAATGGCTGGCATGCCTTTCTGTTTTGTTTTTCAAGATGTTCTTCTAGCATCCTTACACAGGCCTTCAGTTCTCATCTGCCTGCTTCTTTCTTTTACAGTGTGCTTGCTAATATCCATGGCCCCTGCCCAGTGTTGTTTGAAAATCCCCAGTGAATCACAAGCTGTGAGCAGGGCCTTTTGGACCATGCTGTGGTCTCTGTCAGTGGAAATGTGGGCTTTTCTCCTCTCCACTAGGGGACCACAATGGGTGGCCTGCTATGCCCTAGCTTTTGACTCATATCTCTGGGATATCACACCTCAAGAGCTCAGCCCCTCCCTGTGAGAATGGGTTGAGATGGCCTCTCCCCAACCGACCTGGAGACGCTATGCTTGTTAGCATCTCAGAGGGGATTAAGTTTAGAACTTAGCTTCGGAATATCTGATCTTGTCTGTTCCAAGCCTGGCAGCTACCAGCAGCTCATGGATGTGCTAATTGGTAACAACTGCTTTTTTATGGCCTTGTTAATCAACATGGAATCAGACTGTCCAAGGTCTCCTTAAGATATGCAAGAAGTGTAAGATGAGAAGGGATCAGGGGATGGAACAGCCAAAATGAGAAATTTTCTTTTTTAAGTCTTTTAATGAGAAGAATAAGTGGCTATAATTTTTTTTTTAAACTTACAGAATAATCAAGGACTTTAATACGTTCATATTCAGTATTTCTAGAGCAGACTAAAGTGTTCATGACACATCAAAGGTATTAATAAAAACAAGAGAGCTCCTCTTCTGTGAATCATGACATAACAGTGTTTAAAATATAAGTGCTTTTGTTTGCACACCATGGGCAGGAAAAGGAGCCCACTACAAAAAGTGGTCTATGTGCACATGCTTCCTGAAGCATGTTTTCACCGCAATGGCCCAATGTTTTGATGTCTTAAAAACCTCAAGACCTATGATTGATACAAAAAATGTGGTTTTCCTCTTTAAGCACAAATTTGAAAATCCATTGCAAGAAATACAGTATTATATATTTTTGTTGGATGTTCTTTATTGTGCTAAATGTTTAAGGAGATGATAAGAGCAAGCCAGCAAACCATTAACCCTTCCACGAGATGCAGAGATATCTGCCTTAGATCACGTGGTGTTTCTTCAAGATCTGTAAGGAAATGCTTCGACCTGCACTGCTAAGTTTATTGAACATTCATGGGGTGAGGGGTGGACAAACAAAACCATTAGGAATTAAGCGAGCAAATAAGACAGAAATAAATAAATACAATCTCTTAATGCTATGCAAGGGCCCAAAAAGCTTTTTGCATTCAACAGTCCCATTTAACTACATTTTCAATTTCCAATGATCTTCTAACCCCATATAGTTACACTGAGTAGAAGTGATCCAGCCCGTTTCTGTGAATGTCCTGAAGGCACAAAGACCTACAGTATATACAAGGGAAGGCTAAATTTTACAATGAATAGAAAGTTATCAAAACAACAAGTACTTACTCAGATGGCATGCTTGTCATGACTAATGTTCTCATTGCCTGGAGATTTCAAAAAAAAAAAAAAAAAAAAAAAAACAATCAAAAATATATGAAAATTTTCCCATAGAAATAAACTCTAATAAGTTTTTTGAACAGTTATATTACTTAAACACAAACATTTAAGCATATATACGGAGATGGAGTGGAAGATGGAAATTTAGACACTATGCTAAAACCAATCCAAAAAAACAAAACCAAACAAAAATAAAATGAAAAACTCAGACACGACGGAGAAGAGTAGGAAGGCCCACCGAGGACCCTCAGATGAGTCAAAGTGCAGACTTTAAAGTTAGGAAGGAGTGAGAAGAGTGCTCTAAAGGCTGGCCCACTCTTCTGAAGGATGGGCTACCATATTCTCATTTGGAACACACGTCTGTATAATACTGTTTATGGTCAGGAGGGCCCAGCAAATTTCACACCTTCGGCGATCATCTGCTGTGATGAAAACTGCATGTATTAGTTGGTGGTGGCTGCTGCTGAGACAGGGTCTCACTATATAGAACTTCGATGTGCTATGTAACCAAGGCTGACTTGGAACTCCCAATCCTTCTGCCTCCGTATTGATGGGTACAACCAGAGCCTGCCCAATGAGGTAGTTCAGACTTTGCTTGTCAATTCCCGGGATTTAGAATCACCACAGTAACAAACATCTTGGAGACCCAACTTAAGGGTAAGTGGATACTGTTCCATTGACTGGGGTCCCAGACTGAATAAAGAGAAGACAGAAAGCTAAGCATCAGCATTCACTCTCTGCTTCCTGTGTGCACAGGCAGTGAGCTGCCTCGAGCTCCTGCCCTCCCAGCCACATTGGACTGTGTCTTCAAAATGTGGGCCCAGATAAAGCCTTCCTTAAGTGGCTCCTCAGGATGACAAGAACAGTAACTAATCTACTCAGGTAGGTGTGTGTGTGTGTGCTACAGAAAATGCAACTACCATGGAAATCAGCTTAGATATATGAGTACCCTAGGTATCCTCCCCACCCCCTCAGAATTTGCTGATGTCTTTCAGCCAGTGAGTGTGTGCTCCATGGGATTGTGTGAAGTTACTACACACACACACACACACACACACACAATTGAAGGGAGGAACCTCACTTGTTCTTGAATGGAGAAAGCACAGTGAGGAGGGGAATACAAAAGGCCTCTAAGGATGCTTCCTGACCCTGACACTCCTAGAAGAGGGCTTTGGCCCTGTACATTTAGGGAAGATGGAGCCTGAAGGATGCAGAGGGAATATGAGTCTAAAAGATATTCAGAGGAAGAGCTCTGACGATGACAGCTAAGCTAACAGACTACTACTTCCCTGTCCTTTTATCTATCCTTTTGGAACATTACAGTTTCTTGTCCTGTACTTCTGATAACCTGTGTGGAATAACAATAGCATAGCTTTCTGACTGTTTCTGGACACAGGGCCTGGGTATGGGAGACTCGAGTCATCCAATATTATTCTGTCTGAGCTAAGACTGTCCTTTAGTGTCATCTCTGATGGGGGGGTAGACAAGAGGCCACAGCCTAGGGGTGGGACAGTCTGGGGGGGGCAAAGCTGCAGGGAGGGGGCTGGGCAATTAGATAGATGCCAGACCCCCCCCCCCACATCCCCATCCCTTGCCCACCACCGCTTTTCTTCCTTCACAAGCTTCTCTAGAGGGGTCACATGGGTTTAAATACCAGCCATGTCAGCACATGGCGGGTGCTTTCCAGCTTCCTATGTGAGGTCTCTAACATCCAGATCTAGTGCTCTGGCTTCACAGCTCTACTCGGAGGTCTAGCAAGGATTTTCAGTTTAATTTGATCAAAAACTAAACCACTGCACTAGCCAGACCATTAGGAAAGAAAAAAGAAATGAAAGACACCAAAACTGGAAAGCAGGTACTAAAACTACTTCTACCCACAGATCAGATTTTACATGGGTTGCTTCTCTGGGGTTTTAATGAAAAGTAACCACAAGAACTAAATAAATTCAACAAGGCTTCAAGAAATAAGATCAACAACAACAACAACAACAAAAAAACCAGTCTTTCTTTCACAAATTAGTAGTGAACAATCAGAAGAAGGTATTAGGAAAACAGCTCCACTGACAACAGTATGAAAAAAAATAACAGAATATTTCAATAGAGACAGCACAATGTTGTCTACTGAAAATGAAAACTGTTGCTGAAGGGAAGGGAAGAGAGAGAAGGCTTAGTGGAGTAAGCTGCTTGCCACACAAGGGTGAGGGCTGAAGTTCAGTTCTCCAGGAACCAAGTGAATACTGGATAGGCATTTGTAACCCCATTATTTAGAAGCCACAGACATGGTCAGAACAAGCTGGCTAGCTAGATTAGCTAAATCACTGAACGCTGGGTACAAAACAAAGACCTTGCTCAACCTATTAGGTGGAGAGGGAGCAAGGAAAACTCCTAATGTCAACCCCCGGCCTCCACCACAACTCAATAAATAAAAATCAATCAATCAATCAATCAACCAACCAACCAATCAAATGCTGGAGAGATGAATCCTTGGTTAGGAGCACTGGCTGCTCTTCCAAAGAACCATGTTTGCCTCCCAGCACCTACATGGCAGTTTAACCAGCTGAATTCCCATTCCAGGAGATCTGATGGCCTCTTCTAGCTTTCCAGACCCCAAACACACATGTGTTGCACAAAAATGCATGCAGAAAAATGTACATACAGATAAAAAAATAAGTATTTGAAAAAAGTAAGCAAGCATCACAAATAAACGTGGCTCTAAAGACAAGATGCAAATGGCTATCAAGCAACAGAAAGATGTTACATTATCTCTAGTAAGCAGGGAAACCACTAAGACCCCACTGAAATGAAAGATCATGCCCCTTATATCAGCTGTTTAAGAACCCACACAATAGAAAACAACAAGCTTGATGGGAATATGAAGAAGTTGGAGATCCAGACACAATTGGAGGGAAGGTAAAATTTAGGGAACAGTTTGTTAATTGCCCCAAAAGTCAAACTTGCCATTGTCAGTTGAGCAACTTACACCTAGAGAGCCAGCACATCACTTATCTGGCTGCAGAGGTCATAGCACACTGCTTATTAGCCTACAAGGGTTAGATACTTGAAATCTATCCAGTGTGACGCCTCCCACTAATAAGGGAACACCTACGAACATGACAGATATTAGTATCTGTAACTGTACAGATGAATTTAAGAAAATGAAGACTGTTGATGGAAGGAGAAATGGATGGTTGGATGACAAAGTAAATATAGTCCCAACAACTGTTAAACTCAAAGCCAGAGAGAACTGCCAAACCTGATTATAATATACAACAGTTAACCTTGATAGGGTTTAGAATCACCATGGAAACAGACCTCTGGCCCTGGCAGGGAGGCATTATGTAGATTAAGTTAACTGAAGCCTCTGGAAGAACCATCCTAAATGTGGGCAGCACCATCCGATGGGCAGGAGCCCAGGCTGAGTAGCAAGAGCAGGCTGAGCAGCATGGCTCATCTCTCCCTGTTCCTGGCTGTGGTTGCCACATGACCAGCTGTCCTCAGCTCCTGCCACCTTGTTCTTGCTGCCATGATGGACTGCACTCACTGACTTTGAGCCCCAATAAACTCTTTCTCTCTTAAGTTGCTTTTGTTGGGTATTTTGTCATAGCAACAAGACAAGTGACTACTACATAATACAAATGATCTTCATTTATGGACATGTAAAGTCTACTGGGTGGACTAGTCCTTCTCTACCTTAGTTTGAGTCTTCAATGTCCCACAAAAGCTTATGTGCTGATGTTGAAGGTAGTGTTTAAGACACAGTCAGTGAGAGGTCATTAGGACAATGGGGGAGGGGGACCCTTGAAGTAAGTGTGTGTGTGTGTGTGTGTGTGTGTGTTACAGGAACACACCTCCCCCATGCTCACTCACTTTTGTTTCCCTGCTACAAATAAGAGCAGTTTTCCTCCATCATAAGCTCTTACCATACATAGTGTATCACCACAGGCCAAAGTAACAGGGCCAGCTGGCTGCTGAACTGTGAGACAAAATAAACACTTCTTTTCTTAAGAGAATAGACTCAGGTAGTTTGTTACAGTAAACCAAAGCTGACTAACACAGTCCACCACTGAGGAAACTACTACCAAAACCATTTCAGCACTCCTGACAAGCCTAAACTGACTTAAAAGGTAAGCTGAGGCACAGAATGTGAGAGGCCCACAGCCAAAACAAGGATGGCCTCCAAAAGAAAACCATGAACTCTAGTTGCCCAGAGTATGTTTTCCCAAAATGGATTTGGTTTTACAGATTGAAGAAAGAAACAAGAAAAAGGGTTTAGCCAAACACCGACCTAAGATGGCAATGAGTCATTAGTCACGGGTGTGTGACAGCAAAGAAGCAGGACACTTTCCTCTAAGTCACTATTGTTGTCCTGGCATCAGGACAGAGCTAAGGGTAAGTGGAAGGCAGAAATTAAGCAGGTGACTCATAGGCCATGGCCTCCGGGTACCATTCATTCTCTTTTCTCTCATCGAGTTATTGTCCTTTGAACACCAGACAAGGGCTTTTTGGCTCCCTCACAAATTAATGTGTTGAATATTCATTTTATATTAGGCATATATTCATTCCTGTACCTTTAAAAAATAATCTTTTCCATTATGAAACTCTCATGAAATGCCCAGCAGACTCTGAAGGCGGCCAGTGAACGACACCAGTACAGGAAAGCACCACCCCAGTATACTGCTCAGGGCCAAGCCTGAGACCCCACAGCACGGCTCCCCAGGCAGTTCTGATGCAGACACATCTTTCACGGGCTTTTTGAGGCTGAGTCCCTAGAACTTTGCTATCCATTTTTCTCATTTTTAATTTTGTTCTCTATTAGCTTTTGGTTTTTATCTGCTTAGATAAATTGGTCCCAGCTAGGGAAAGCAATGTTTAGGAATTTGGTTGTTTGGTATGGTCATTTGATGTCCTACGTAATTGAAATGTAGTCTCTTCTGAGGAAGAGGAAGCAGAGGGCTGGTATTTTAATTCAGAGTTAGCTGTTAAGTCA